CACCTGAGGGTGGGTGACCGGGACAGATTAGGGATTCTGTTAGTGTACCGTCCACCTCGCTGCACTACAGTCTCCCTGCCTGAGCTAGCGGGGTTGGTCTCGGACCTGGCATTGGAGTCCCAATCTCCCTGCCGGAGCTAGCGGGGGTGGTCTCGGACCTGGCATTGGAGTCCCAACGGCTGCTTGTGCTGGGTGACTTCAATGTCCATGCCGAGGCCGCCTTATCGGGAGCGGCTCAGGACTTCATGTCTACCATGGCAACCATGGGGCTGTCCCAACAGGTATCTGGCCCCACCCACAGTGCTGGACACACATTGGACTTGGTTTTCTGCCAGGGATGGGAGGAAGGTGGCGGTGTTGAGGAGTTATCCATCTCTCCGTTGCCATGGACCGACCACCACCTGGTCAGCTTTAGACTCACTGCACCCCCTAACCTCGCAGAGGTGGAGGACCCATTAATTGGTCCGCCCCAGGAGGCTTATGGATCCGGATGGATTCCTGACGGCTCTTGGGAATTTCCCGCCACCTCGGTTGGTGATCCTGTTGATGCCCTGGTCGCTCTCTGGAATGGGGAGATGGCTAGGGCAATAGACACGATCGCTCCAGAACGTCCCCTCTCAAGTAGCCGAGCTAAACCAGCTCCTTGGTTTACTGAGGAGCTGGCAGCGTTGAAGCGAAAGAAGAGGGAACTAGAGAGCGTGTGGCGTTTCGGATCCGAGCGAGCCAAATCGAACACGGTTTGTGTCCTTTTTAAGGGCATATGCCGCGGCAATAAAAGCCGCAAAGAAGACTTTCTTTGCGGCCACTATTGCGTCTGCAAAGAACCGTCCGGCTGAACTGTTCCGAGTTGTCAGAGACCTTTTAAAACCCACCATGCAGGATGGGTGCCCTGATGACTCGGCAGCTCGCTGTGAAGCCTTTGCTCAGTTCTTTGCAGACAAAGTCGCTTTGATCCGCTCTGGTCTGGATACCATATTAACGGCAGTCTCTGAGGATGTAACACGAGCATCTGCTTGTCCGGTTTTGATGGATTCATTTCAATTGGTGAAACCCGAGGATGTGGACAAGGTGCTTGGGAATGAGAGCTACCACATGCATCCTAGACCCCTGCCCATCCTGGCTTCTGAAGGAGGCCAGAGGGGGATTGGCCGAGTGGGTGAAGGTGGTGGTTAATGCCTCCCTTCGGGAAGGCAAAATTCCAGCCAGCTTAAAGCAAGCTGTAATAAAACCGCTGTTGAAAAAACCATCACTGGACCCCACTCAATTCGTCAACTATCGGCCTGTTTCCAATCTCCCCTTTTTGGGCAAAGTCCTGGAACGTGTGGTGGCCTCACAACTCCAGGCATTCTTGGTAGACACGGATTATCTGGATCCGGCACAGTCTGGCTTTAGGCCGGGGCATGGTACCGAGACAGCCTTGGTCGCCTTAGTGGATGATCTGTGCCGGGAGCTCGACAGGGGGAGTGTGTCCCTGTTGGTGCTGCTGGACCTCTCAGCGGCCTTCGATACCGTCGACCACGGTATCCTTCTGGGACGCCTCGCGGGGATGGGTCTTGGAGGTACTGTTTTACAGTGGCTCCGCTCATTCCTTGAGGGTCGGTCTCAGAAGGTGTTACTGGGAGACTCCTGTTCAACCCCACAACCTTTGTCTTGTGGGGTTCCTCAGGGTTCAATATTGTCTCCCATGTTATTTAACATCTACTTGAAGCCGCTGGAGGAGATCATCCGGAGTTTCGGAGTGCGATGTCATCTGTACGCGGATGATGTCCAACTCTGTCACTCCTTTCCACCTGCTACTAAGGAGGCTGTCGAGGTCCTGAACCGATGCTTAGGCCGCTGTGACGGTCTGGATGAGGGCGAACAAATTGAAATTGAATCCAGACAAGACAGAGGTACTCCTGGTAGTCATAAGGCCGAACAGGGTATAGGGTTACAGCCTGTGTTGGATGGGGTCGCACTCCCCCTGAAGACGCAGGTTCGCAGTTTGGGTGTGATCCTGGACTCATCGCTGAGCCTGGAACCCCAGGTTTCGGCGGTGACCAGGGGAGCATTCGCACAGTTAAAACTCGTGCGCCAACTGCGCCCGTACCTTGGGAAGTCTGACTTGGCCACGGTAGTCCACGCTCTGGTTACATCCCGTTTAGACTACTGCAACGCTCTCTACGTGGGGTTGCCTTTGAAGACGGCTCGGAAGCTCCAATTAGTCCAACGGTCGGCAGCCATGATACTAACAGGAGCGGAGCGCAGGGAGCATACAACTCCTCTGCTGCACCAGCTCCACTGGCTGCCGATCTGCTACCGGGCTCAATTCAAAGTGCTGGCATTGGCCTTTAAAGCCCTAAACGGTTCTGGCCCAACCTACCTATCCGAACGTATCTCGGCCTATCAGCCCACCAGGACCCTAAGATCTTCTGGGGAGGCCCTGCTCTCTATCCCGCCTGCTTCACAGGTGCGGCTGTTGGGGACGAGAGACAGGGCCTTTTCTGTGGTGGCCCCTCGGCTATGGAACGCCCTTCCCATGGAGGTAAGATCAGCCCCCTCGCTGATGGTGTTCCGAAGAAGATTAAAAACCTGGATGTTCGAACAGGCATTTGGTTAATCGGTGCAATGAATGTGATGATTACAGGAATGGTAATATGGACGACGAAACTGGATCACGATTTTAGTCATGAGATGCATTGGGTTGTTATTGTTGTGTCAATATTGTGTATTATGCTTTTATGGTTTTAAATTGTATATTGTTGACTGTTGTACCTTTGTTGTAAACCGCGTTGAGTCGCCTGTTAGGCTGAGAAACTGCGGTATACAAGTAAAATAAATAAATAAATAAATAAATAAATAAATAAAACCACATATATACGCAAACACACATATATACAAATATATATACACACACATACACACAACACATATGTGTATAACACACACATATACACATAACATAAATATAGAAAACACATATACACAGACTGGGTCACAGCAATGCGTGGCAGGGGACGGGTAGTCTTTGTTGTTGTTCATTCGTTCAGTCGTTTCTGACTCTTTGTGACCTCATGTACCAACCCATGCCAGAGCTCCCTGTCAGCCATCACTTCCCCCAGCTCCTTCAGAGTCAAGCCAGTCACTTCAAAGATGCCATCCATCCATCTTGCCCTTGGTCGGCCCCTCTTCCTTTTTCCTTCCATTTTCCCCAGCATAATTGTCTTCTCTAAGCTTCCGTCTTCTCATGATGTGGCCAAAGTACTTCAACTTTGTCTCTACTATCCTTCCCTCCAGAGTAGTCAGGCTTTATTTCCTGGAGGATGGACTGGTTGGATCTTCTTGCGGTCCAAGGCACTCTCAGCACTTTCCTCCAACACCACAGTTCAAAAGCATCTATCTTCCTTCTCTCAGCCTTCCCTATGGTCCAGCTCTCACATCGGTAGGTGACTATGGGGAATACCATTGCTTTAGCTATGCGGATCTTCGTTGCCAGTGTGATGTCTCTACTCTTCACTATTTTATGGAGATTGGTCATTGCTCCCCTGCCAAGAAGTAAGCGTCTTCTGATTTCCTGGCCACAGTCTGCGTCTGCAGTAATCTTTGCACCTAGAAATACAAAGTCTGTCACGACCTCCATGTTTTCTCCCTTTATTTTCCAGTTGTCAATCATTCTTGTTGCCATAATCTTGGTTTTTTAAATGTTTATCTGCAACCCAGCTTTCTTCTTTCACCTTGATTACAAGGCTCCTCAGCTCCTCCTGTCTTTCAGCCATCAAAGTGGTGTCATCTGCATATCTAAGGTTGATAATATTTCTTCCAGCAATTTTAACCCCAGCCTTGCATTTGTCAAGCTCCGCACATCGCATGATGTGTTCTGCATACAAGTTGAATAGGTTGGGTGAGAGTATACAACCCTGCCGTACGCTTTTCCCAGTCTTGAACCCGTCTGTTGTTCCATGGTCAATTCTTACTGTTGCTACTTGGTCCTTAAACAGATATCTCAGGAGAGAGACAAGGTGATTTGGTATGCCAAGAACTTGCCACAATTTATTATGATCCACAAATACAGGGTGAGGCAACATAACTTCCTTTTTTAAAATGCGCGCCATTCAGTCGGTTGAAAACGTAGTGGAGTGCTAGTGGTCTCGTTTGAGAGGCGGGAGTATAAAGTTTTGTCCTGACACAATTCAGTCGCCATCATGCGTTGGAACAGTGAGGATTGTGCTTTTGCCACTGAGGCCTACTTTTCGAGTGGATTTGGAGTGGCTGGCCCGCTCTCCAGATTTGGCCCCTTGTGATTTTTTTCTATGGGGTTTTTTGAAATCCTGTGTTTATGTGAACCGTCCAAGGACCCTACAAGATTTGAAGACCAACATCCAGGAAGAAATTGCCAACATAACACCTGCTACGCTGGCAAGAGTCATGACAAACACCAGAAATCAGTTTACTCAGAGTATGGAGAATGGGGGACATCACCTACCTAATTTGATCTTCAAAACTACGTAAAACAAAACTTTAGGTATGTGCCTACATTATAAAAAAAAAAACATTAAAATTTCTGATTCATACAATGGGTTTTATGAAGTTTTGAAAAAAGGAAGTTATGCTGCCTCACCCTGTATATGCACACACAAAGCACATATACACAGACTGGGCCACAGCAACGCGTGGCAGGGGGTGGCTAGTTACAAAATAAAAACATCAAAACAAAAATATATATATGCACCATGCACGTGATGGCAAAAATTGGAGGGTAATTTTTTAAAACGGAGAACGCCAAATTCCCATAAAACCAGGGGAAAGGCCTTTTATGGGCCTCTCTTTGAAAAGCAGCCTGTGGTTTTCACCCTCGAGATCCAGAGGGCGGAGCGCCATCCCGCCCTGGCCTCCCTCCAGAGTGATTCGCAGCTCAGTGGCGGGTTTCGAATGTGCACCGGAAGTTTAGAGGCGCAGAAGGCCGCGAGGCAGTGCAACTCTATAACCTTTACGCGCCAAGGCCGGGATGACGTCATTCCGAAAGGCGGAAGTGTGGTTTGGCTTCCGGAGGGCATGGGAAGGGGAGGCGGGCACAACTCGTGTTGCGCAGGCGGGAAAGTGTCTGTGGTGAAGACGGACTTGGTAATAACATGGGGCTCCTTGTTGGTGGGGGAAAGGGGAAGAGTGGTGCTCAGGGAATCGAACTGACGGGCCAAGGATCCTCTGCCTGCCTGTCTGCCTCCCTTCCTTGGAGGGCAAGCTGAGCTTCATCCTTCCCTGGGAATGGGGCCTTTGGCCCTCAGTGGGGTTTCCTTCCCACTGGGCCAAAATATCATGGAGATTTATATTGACAGAATATTGCAATTGCTTTCTTTTGGCCAAGACAGTAGCCTTCAGCGTTCGTGTGTGCGAGGCAGAATGGGGTGGGAGTGAGCAGATGTGTGCTTGCTGCCATAACATCGCCATTATTATATCTATTTACACCCCTCTCCCCTCCCTCAAAGGAGACTCAAAAGAGCTGACACTAATACAGCGTGTAAATTAAAACCTAGAGCATACACATATTAAAATAGAATTAAATATAGGACTTTTTAAACAAGTTAAAACCTTAAAATTCTTAATTAAATTCTTGAAAATAGAAGCTCAGAAAGACATTTCCACCCTCAGTAAAGCTGGCCCATTGAAATGGCCAAGCCGTTTTAAGAATACTTTTCAAACAGCCCCCAATATCTAAAGAAAGAAATGCCTAAACACCTCAGGAGGGTATTTACCAAAACTAGATTTGAACAGCTGGATACAATGGTCAGACATGAAAGGTTTAACCAAGTTCCAGATAATGAACAATTTTGTGTCTGGAGCATCAGCGGTAGAAGATATCACCGCTGTACTGTTTAGTTGTAACTTGTACGATAAAGAGAGAAACCAATATCTTGGGCCATACACTGTACAAAAGACACACTGGGATCCGTATATTAAAACTACATTTTTAATGGCCAGCCAGAATGCTAAAATAACATATAAAACGGACCTTTTTTATTTAAAGCAACACAGCTAAGAACTGCATGTTTAGAGTTGATTGGGGTAAACTGCAGAGGTGATGCAGATACTTGATCTGTATTGGGACTTTGCTAACAGCTTGTTTATTTTAACTTGTGTTGTACTGTGGGTTGTATGCTCTATGTGTTTGTTAAATGTTTTGATATGGGTAATGGGGTAATCAATGAAACGTACTACAACATAGTTAAAATCATTAAAAATCTATATTAAGCACAGCACCCCTGACTTACTGTAAAACTTTCTTTTTTCTTTTCTATGTCTCCCTATGGGATGGGGGAATAACCACATACAAAACACATAATCACTTAACTTGGTGGTTGGGTGGCTGGAAAGTTTGTGGGATCTCTTCAGTGACACCACACTTGGAGTGTAGATGCATTAATGTGGTTTGACACCACTTTAACTGTCATGGCTCAATTCTATGGGATCCTGGGAGTTGTAGTTTGGTGAGGCACCAGCATACTCTTTGACGGATGGCTCAAGGCCTTGTAAAACTCCAGCTCCCATGATTTCGTAGCACTGAGCAGTGGCTATTAATGTGATGTCAAACTGCATTAATTAGACAGCTAATATTAAACTATATTTATATCCCGCCACCATCTCCCAAAAAGGGACAATCACTATCAACACATAAAATAACACAATTTAAAATCCCCCCCCCCCCCCCCCGGGAAACAGAAGTTTCTCTGTATATTCCAAGGTTGGGGTGGGTTGCTTTTTCATGGGGATTTTCTTGTTTTGAGGTTTGTTATTTGGGTAATTGTTTTGTTTCTTTCCCAGGTCTCTAGATCTCTGGACTTCTGACAACTTGCGTTATCAGTAAATATGTCGAATTCAAGAAAGGATTAATATATCTTGCCTGATTCTCTCCAGAAAGCTTTCCTTCCAGAACTACACATCTTGGTGTGACTCTAAACCCATTTGTAGTGGGGGCGGGGGAGGGAGAGAACAACCACCATGGCAGATACATTGGAATTCAATGAAATATACCAGGAGGTGAAGGGATCTATGGTGAGTGTTATGGGTTTAATATTTAAAATAATTAAACACAAAGGGTTTGTTTGAAGTTATATGTTTAAAAGGAAGCTAGTCCCAATATTTTGCTGCAAAATTCTTGTGTGTGTGTTTATCTGAGTGCTCCATCTCTCATAGGAAGAAAAAAAATGTTGCCATGCACCTTGATGATTCAGTAAAGAATACTTGGATTAGAAAGAACTTTCTAATGACAGCTATAGAGACTGAAGTTATGAAAGATGTTTAGTGGGAGAGGGTAAAAGTTGATTAAAGAGTAGCAGAGAATCGAAAGATCAGAAGACAAAATAGCAATAATTGGATATGACAGTATGGAAGTAATTACTGGTTTTTGCAAGCACTGGTTCAGAGGCACTTGGAGGAATGATATTCTTTGCCCAGCTGCTGTGGCCACTGTTTCTATGTCTCTAGCCTTCTCTGTCTCTTTCTGTGTTAGAATGATGGCCGCCTACGGCTAAATCGCCAGGGTGTGATTTTTAAGAACAGCAAAACTGGAAAAGTTGACAACATCCAGGCCTCAGAACTGGCAGAGGGGATCTGGCGCAGAGTAGCACTGGGCCATGGTCTCAAACTACTTACGAAGGGTGGCCATGTCTACAAGTATGATGGATTCAGGGAGACGGTAAGCTTCCATTTAATATAAGTTTATTTCTAATTATTGTACAGTAGAGACCTCTACAGGTTTCCATGACTTAATTAGGGGGTGGAATTTCCAGTATTAAGGACAAGACAGGTTGAATTTGCACCTGCATAGGTGTGGATAACATTGTATTTTGTATATGTGGTCTGTGATGTTGTCTAGCATATTCTTATGTATAAAAATGTCTTTGTTAATATAATTTGTTACTATATATTTTTTATTGTACCATGGGTAGATAGAAAGACTGGTGGCAGTTTACTGGGCTAGTTTTTATCCTGAGGGATTAGGAAGGAACCGAAAGACTCATGTTGCTCGAATGGCACATTGGTAACCTTGATTTTTTTGCCCTCCATTACAATGAAATCTACTTACTACAATATTAACTGGATGCTTCCTAATTAAGCGATTTCCTCCCTTTTAGGAATTTGATAAACTTGCAGATTTTTTCAAGACCCACTTTCATTTGGAGCTTGCTGAAAAAGATTTGTGTGTGAAGGGATGGAACTGGGGCACAGTAAAATTTGGAGGTAAGTTCTGATGGGGCCAATGCTGTCCCATGGGAAACAACATATAGAAAAAAGTCTAGGAGTCACAACTTTTGGGAAGGAATGAAAGAGTTTTCTGGTTGTCTTGGAGAGAGGATGACAGTGAGCTGTAAGTACTGTTTCCCTTGAAAAATATTCTTTTTTGCAGGACAACTCCTCTCTTTTGATATTGGAGAGCAGCCGGTTTTTGAGCTCCCGCTCAGTAATGTGTCCCAATGCACAACTGGTAAGAATGAGGTGACACTAGAGTTCCACCAAAATGATGATGCTGAGGTGTCACTCATGGAAGTGCGTTTTTACGTACCCCCTACTCAGGAGGATGGCGTGGACCCCGTGGAGGTGAGTGCATCATGCATAAATCTGATGGAGGGTGGGGGGAAGTAATATTCATTTACAAAACCAACTCATTCCATCTTTTCTTGCAGGCATTTGCACAAAATGTGCTCTCCAAGGCAGATGTCATCCAGGCTACAGGCGATGCCATCTGCATATTCCGAGAACTGCAGTGCTTGACGCCTCGTGGTCGCTATGATATCCGCATATACCCCACCTTCCTGCACCTCCACGGCAAGACATTTGACTACAAGATCCCCTATACTACTGTTCTCAGGCTTTTCTTGCTGCCCCATAAAGACCAACGCCAGATGTTCTTTGTGGTGAGGAGGAACAGACTTAGAGCGTGTTTCCTATTGGGAGTATTAATTCTGGATGCCTCTTGGAATATACTTCATTCATGGGCAGTTTTGTTTTCTTTTGGTTCTTTCTGAGAAACCAAAGTGACTCTTACTAATTTCTACTTTAGAAATAAAGTAAACTATCTCTGTTGCATTGACTGTCTGGTTGTTGTGGGATGAGCGTCAGGCAAAAACCTTTACTCCATCCTGCTCGTGTTTGGAATTGGTAATTCATCCAGATAATACTTCAGGGGAGCCCTGAATCCTGGCCACTCCTATTCTTCTCCTGTGTTTGCATTGTTGGTATTGGTGTTGCAAGGGAAGCTAAACTGTGTCATGATAGCAAATTTTGTGGCTCTCCATAACTTCTATGTAGTGGTGGAGAAAGATGTAAGTTCCCTTTTCCGATTAGGCTGTGAGAAAACATAGTCAAAGTAGTTTTCTGTATGTATGGATAACTATGGAGAAAGATCATGTAAATAAAAGTTGCATGTATTTGTGTGGTAAGGTTGGACTCCAGGGAACTTCATGACAAAGATAATTGTTTGTTTGTTGTGCTTCTTTTCAGATCAGCTTAGACCCCCCTATAAAGCAAGGCCAAACTCGCTACCACTTTCTTATCCTACTCTTCTCCAAGGATGAGGACATCTCCTTGACTCTCAACATGAATGAGTGAGGCCACAGATTATGATATTGGATTGCATGATTTTAAATAACCGGTTTTTAATGTTTGATATGTTTATAATTATTTTTTTTAGAATATATGTTTATTTTATTGATGCATGTTCGTATGGCATCGAATCACTGCCTATATATGTAATCTGCCCTGAATACCCTACGGGGTGAGAAGGGCAGGGTATAAATATGGTATATAAATAAATTTCACCTGTTCCTTTATGATGCATATACCTACAAATATCAGACAACTTCCAATCCCTACTACTAAGTTTGATTATAGAATAATAGAATTGGAAGAGACCACAAGAGCCATCAAGTCCAACCCCATTTCTGCCCTTCAGGAACACACAATCTAATCACCCCTGGCAGATGGTCATTCAGCCTCTGCTTAAAAACCTCCAAAGAAGGAGACTCTCACTGAGGCAGTGTTTTTATGTTAAACTTGCTCAGAGTTTTTGTGAGCAAGAGAGAAGAAAAGATAAAAATGCATGTACAAAGTGATGTTTTCCGGGTCCAAGTACAGAATTTGCACCATTTACTGGTTTGACATTTCTTGAATTTCCTTAGTGGCCTGTTGCTTTTTTCCTCCCTCCCTCTCACATTCCTTTACGTAACAGTCCCCTGAGCCTGCCTCTGTCTTGAATTTTATTTATTTATTTATTTATTTGTAATTTAGGGATGAGGTAGAGAAGCGCTTTGAGGGAAGACTTACCAAGAATATGTCTGGGTCCCTATATGAGATGGTCAGTCGTGTCATGAAAGCCCTTGTCAACCGCAAGATCACTGTGCCCGGCAACTTCCAAGGGTAAGGAATGATAAGGGTCTAAGGCCAGAGGAATCATGAACCATCAGCTTTTAATGTGAAGTATTTTATGCCTTGCAATACACTGTAATTCATATGGAGTCAGAAGTCAATGTTTTTTTTAATCTTATATAGATTAAAAAATAAATTAAAATACAAAATAGTAGGATAAATACACAAAGCATTAAATGCTACTTTGCATTTCATCTTTAATTTCAAAGTAATGCAGGAATAAACATTGCTTATATAAGGCAGCCAATGCTTTTTAAACTAAAGTTCTCTGTTCACTATTTTTCAAGCTGAAGTTTCACAATAATTGTGCTATTTTCCAAACTTTAAAGAATGAGTCTGTATTTTTTCCAGTTCCTTATAAGAATAATATTTGTTTGAATTAATAAATGAGATCATTTATTTGTGAATTTTGGGGAGCTGAGATTGAAAGATTTTTAATAAAATTGTTCTTGGACTGAAGGAGAAATTTTACCCTATCTTATCTCTAAAAAATTCCAAATGTCTTAATTTATTAACTACATGTGTATGTAGTCAACTGATTACATTTTGCTTTTCTAATAAACACAGTTGTCCTTTCGGTAATCAGCTTAAAACTGTTATTTTAAATTTATGCAGTTGGTATTGGCCAGCCCTCTTTTACAAAACTACTTTCCATTTTTCATTAATTCCTAAAGTTGTAATTGCCTCCAGGTGGATTTTTAAAATCTTCTTCATTTAAATCTTGATCTAACAATAATAAAAAACAATTTGCTCAATAATGCTTTAATACCTTTTTCCAATTCTCAAATTTTGACAACTGTTTTTAAAAGTGCACATTCCAAGTAGACCTTCATTTGAAATGGATAAGGCTGGTCTGATCCCATTTCTAAAAAATTAACTGAGCCCAGTTTTGTTTTAACCTGCCCCATAATGTTCTAGTATTATATTTTACTGAAAGCAGATCTTTAGCAATGACAGATAAGTTAATGGGCTTATTCAACTTGTCCAAATTTATATATACCATTGAGTTATTGATTTACCAAGTTCCCATCTGCTAACAAGTAAATTTAAGTTTTGGCTTTTGTTTGTGAGAGGTATGAATAACAATGGGGTGGAATTAAAATTGTTCCTGGATTTATGCTTGAAAATGGTGGCAGAGCATAGCCAATTACAGTTGGCATGGATGGAAAGGGGGAATTCGACCCTTTAGATGTTGAACTCAGCAGCTGTAGCTAGCATTGCAAGTATCATCTGGAAGGCTATGATTCTCACCCTGTGAACAGTGCTCTGAAATAATAGATACTCTTAGTTTATCTGCAGAAGGCAGCTTTTCATTTCAGTTACTAAGAGCTGGAGCTGGTTGTGACAATGTCTCGTTGTAGTGGGATGTTTGATTAGTAATCTGTGCCGTATGAGGGCATGTTTGTGGCTGAACTAGATGTGTGTTAACACAATGTCTCTTTCCTTGTTGCAGGCATTCTGGAGCACAGTGTATCACTTGTTCCTACAAGGCCAGCTCAGGGCTGCTCTATCCCTTGGAACGTGGCTTTATCTATGTGCATAAGCCGCCAGTTCACATTCGCTTTGATGAGATTTCATTTGTCAACTTTGCTCGTGGGACCACAACCACACGTTCCTTTGACTTTGAGATAGAAACGAAACAGGGAACACAATACACTTTCAGCAGCATAGAGAGGTGAGTTGGTAACTCAATATGAACATATACATCCCTCCACATGTGCTGTTCATCGATCTAAACCACCATTTTGCTGGATATACAGAGTGTTTCAAAATGATGGACCCAGTTTCGAAGAAGAATATTTTAAAATGGCAACATGTTATAATTGTACAGAAAGTCACTAACAAGTTATTAACTTACCAAATTTTAGTAAGCATTTTGAGCAAGAAACCAACTTCAAAAGTTAACTATGAAAATGGAGAATATTATTATGTTTATTTATTATATCATTAGGCCTTGTGATGTAAGGTGGCCATCTTGTGAATAACTTAGGCTAGGAGCTGTTTGTGTATTGGGAAAGGCATCAAACAATAATCCTTTGAAACTGTTCCATCCTTTCTAATGGCAAGAATTTCATTCAAGATCGGTTTGTGGTTGCAAAAAGATAGCAATTTCAATTTGAGTCCATCTTTTTGAAACACTCTGTATAATGTCTTTGTGGAGGAAAAGAGCTGACGTGCAAGTGCTCTCGAGCCCTTTTCATTCCAAAAGACAACTCTGCTTGCTGCTCATGGCCCATACTTTCTAGATGGCTTTCCCTTAAGTGTCTCCATTTTGCCTTGCTCTTGTTCAGATGTCACAACACTCCCACTCCCCTTCCTCTTTGATGCCCTTGCCCACCACAGCTGAGAGCAGTAGAGTCCTTACTCTCATGTCCAGTTCTGCAGCTGAGTAAATACTGAAGCTGTACTAAATGGTTCCTTCTATGGTTTCTTTTCCTTGCAGAGAAGAATATGGCAAGCTGTTTGACTTTGTGAATGCCAAGAAGCTGAACATCAAGAACCGAGGACTGAAGGAGGTATCTGCCACAGGCGGGTGGGCGAGAGGACAGGGAAGGACCGCTGCTGTCTGGTCCTGCTCCTGATCTGCTTGGGGTGGGATGGGGTTTCTCTCTCTCTCCAGAGCTTTCTCCCTTCTCAATTTCTGTTCTCTCCTTGTAGAAGAAAAAGGTCTGTGCGATTGTCCCCTCCTCTTCCTCCTCTTGGGTCAGGTCTCCTCTGCATGGCTGTGGTGAACATTCCTACTCACCATAGTATAACCGTGCATGAACCACAGGGAAGGGGCAGCAGCCCGCGTTGCTCCAGGAGTGGCTTCTTCCTAATCCACTGTAAAGTCACTGGCATGGCTCCTTCCTTCCCCTGGGGAGGGAAGGTGTGTTGCAGCAGACTTGGGAGGCTGCATGTTCTCAACTGAGGAATCCGCTGGGGGAGCCATCATGTGTGTGTACGAAACCTCTCCTCTGCAGTAAGAGCATGGTGGGAGTTGTAGCGTTAGATCCTCTGCATGCTTTGGCTGTGGGAAGTCTTGACAGATTTTGTCTGCTCTGGGAATGGAATGAGAAATCTTGCATTAGTTCCCATGGGGTCTTTTGTATGTGTTTCCAGGGCATGAAGAATATGCCCTATGATGAATATGCCGGTTCGGATGAAGACACACATGATGCCTACTTGGAGCGCATGAAGGAAGAAGGAAAGATTCGTGAGGAACATGCAAATGACAGTAGTGAGGACTCTGGAGAAGAGACAGGTGAGCCATTTCTTCAGCCTGGAGATGAAGACGGGTCTCTTTCCCTTAAGGCAAGAGAGCTGCTCTCAATAGCAGCCATAGGCATTCCCTATTCCCCCCCTCTCACTTACATTTTCTTTGGATTAGAAATGAATATATATTTTATTTTTTAGATGAATCATTCAATCCTGTAGAGGAAGAAGAGGATGTGGCAGAAGAGTAAGTAAACTGTCACCAGAGAAATGTACTGTTGAAACAAAATGCCATTGTCCCACATTCAGTTTGTAATATCTTAGTGATAGTACTGCTGTTTAGTAGAGGGGTGGGGACGCAGAAAGCAAAACGGTTAGTTTCTGCCTTTATCATTTCAAGATATTTGATGTCTAGTGCTTTGCCCACTCTTTCCGAAATAATGTCCCATTCCTCTATAGTGTGTGGAAGAAATGCTTAGCAGTAGAGATAGTACTTCTGTTGCTTGTAATTTTATACAATCTGATCTCTTCTAGCCTGGTTGTATACAACTCTTTGTTGGCTTTAAAATGTAATAATATAATGCTCAGACTTGGAATGAGTAGTAAATCTGTTCCAGTAAAGTTGATGTAGTGGAGGCATAAGGCTATGTATCTACCTCCTCCTGAAGGACTTTTCTTTGAGACAGGTTTGACAGCAATGCCTCAGCCAGCTCATCTAGCAATGAGGGAGACAGTGATGAGAAGAAGAAACCTGCCAAAAAAGCCAAAATTGTCAAAGAACGCAAACCCCGAAAGAAGCAAACTGAGGTGAGAGCAACCAGGATATAGGTATTTTTGAATCCATAGCCACTGCTGAGCTTCCTTGTTCTGTTATGGGAGTGTTTGAAGCAAAGCAAACAAACTGTTAAATAGGTGCTCACATTGTCCTCAGTTCACAGCTTAATCCCTATGCCACCCAGGAGGATTCTGAGCCTTGTTTCTTAACCATTTATAGAAACATATTTTTGTGTTTAGAGAAACTGTACCAAAACCTGGAGTAGACATAAAGGTAGCTTCCAAAACAGTGCAAAGAACTGATGCAGGAAGAAGAGAGCATTCACTACTTGCGAAAACTCTGGAACATGGTTAAATGTGCTCCTTAGATCTGTTAGCCACATTTTTTTTACTTTGAAAGACTATTTTGTGCATACATTCATATATATCCTCTCAAACCCTGTTTTCCCTTCCCTGATCCAACTGCAATGTTAATAAGCATATAGCCGTGTCTTTTGGCAATGGCTGTATTTTGAATTGAGTCAGAAGTGCAAACTATCACTGTGCAAACTATAGTCAAACAAATTTAAGCAGAGTTTGCCGAACTGTTGGATTCTCTTAAAGGGAAAACTGTTAAGAATCTGTTTTGTTCATATAGTGATGATGGGAAAAAGTGAAAGACTCTTCCCTCTGAATCAGTTCACATTCCATAGGAGGAGCTGCTATTGAAGCCAATTGGGTTCACTTTCATGGTAGTGCATTGTAAATCTACTGTGAAAACTACCACGACTAGCGGTAGGTGTTGTTATCCTTCCTAGCTGTAGCACAAAATCAAATTGGACAAATAACATTAGGAGGAAGGATAAGTGGGCTCATTTTCTGAAGAGTCTGAAGGATGTGCCATCAGAGGAATTTGTTTCCTGCGTGTTCATTATTGTGTTTTGTACTCCTCCCACCTCCACAGGGTAAGAAAATGAAAGATCCCAATGCCCCCAAGAGACCGTTATCTGCCTACATGCTGTGGCTCAATGCTAATCGTGACAAGATCAGGTCAGAGAGTCCTGGCATGAGTGTTACTGATGTGTCCAAGAAGGCTGGAGAACTCTGGAAAGCCATGACAAAAGAGAAGAAGGAGGTGGGTGAAGATGCGACAATGGTTGTGCTCTTATTATATGAAGATGGGAGTGAACGTTATAGTTTTCCCCTCTGGAAAATGCTTTAATCTGAGTCTACGGAGCTTGTATTGTTGATTCAGATTGTGTAACACTTAAATTTAAACTATTTGTAATCTATGTGATACATTGTGTTTGTGACTTTTGGAGTTTTCTGATTTAGAGAGGGAAACATTCAAAGAAGGTTGTTTACAATAAAGGTTTATGGACATTTTGCATCAGTGCAAGTTGCTATATGTCAAACAGTGTGGAGACTTCTTGCCCTGTCTATGGTTCCCTTAGAATACCTTGGGAGCGGGCCATAGTAAAGTAAATAGAACATATGCTTTGCATGCATAGTCTCCCAAAACCTCCAACATCTCAAGGTTCACTTTCTGGCTTCTCTTAGAGAAGCTGGTTATGCTTATACTGGAGGGAAAAAGTCTTATAGGTGCTATAATAGCCATTTTTAAGATCTGAAAAGAGGTAATAACAGCTTGTTTTCTGCTGCTTCAGAAAATAGAATATGAATCAATGGATTCCAATTACAAGAAATAAAATTTCACCTAAGCATTAGGAAAAACTTCTAACTGTAAGAATCATTTGACAGGAATGGAGTGCGTTTGAGGGCGCTGAACTCTTTTTTGGAGGTTTTTAAACAAAATTGGATGTGCATTTTTTCAGTTTAATGGTTCCTTCCAACTCTTGAGATTCCAGGATTCTAGGAATCTGTAATTACAGGTAAAGATGAGAGATGTCTCCATAAAATCCTGAAAAGCTGATTCTACTCAGTGCAGACACAATTGAGATAGGTGCCTCAGTGGCTGCATTTGGTACTAGAGAGCTTCCCGTGTTTCTTTCTCACTAATCACAGTAGAAATAGGTTTCTCAGCCAGATGTCCCGTGGTTTAATCTAGCGCTTAATCTAACTCTTCGAATTAAAGCTCTGATTAAAGAGCAACAGCTCTCAAGTTTCAGTAATATGAGGCTTCCTATTATGCTTTTCCATAGCAACACAAAATCTACCTAATGGTGAGCTGTTTCAAAACCTTGATACAGGACCATAAGAAAGAAAATAATTGTGTGTTTTTTTAATCACCAGAATCCCAGGACAGTCTGTCTCCAGATTTTAGTTCCTCATACCTTTGTACTTTACAGGACATATTCAGGCCTGAATATTTCTATGCACTTAGTTGCATGTGTTTCCCTTTTTTTGAGTTATTCAGCTTATTTGAGAGCCAGTGTGGTGTTGTGGTTTCAACAAGGACCCTAGAGACCAGGGTTTGAATCCTTGCTTAGTTATAGAAACCTACTCGGTAACCTTGGGTAAGCTACATTCTCTTAGCTGCAGAAGAAGGCAGTAGCAAACTCCCTCTGAACAAATCTTGCCAAGAAAACCCAATGATAGAGTCACCTTACAGTTGCGAATAATCAGAAGTGGCTTCAGGCCACGCAACAAAAAAGCGTATCTGAGTGGCAAATACAACCTGTCTATCTTTGTCTATAGGAATGGGATCGTAAAGCTGAAGATGCCAAGAAGGACTATGAGAAAGCCATGAAGGACTACAATGAAGGAGGAAAGTCTGAAAGCTCCAAGAAGTAAGTAGTAGTATTCTCCTCAAGTGATACGTTCTTCTTTTCTCATCTTTGCCGAAGAGTCTTTTCTGCCCCGGAGCATTTTTGTCACTGAATGGTCTTGTTCTCTTTCCAATTTGTATAGGGAAAAGCCCAAGAAGAAAAAGAAGCCAGAGAAGCCTGGAAAAGGCAAACCAGAGAAGAAGGCAGCGGTGTCTTCAAAATCAGTTCCCAGCAAGAGCCCTTCTAAGCAGCTAAGCGAGAGCTTCAAGAGCAAGGAGTTTGTGTCCAGTGATGAAAGTTCCTCAGGCGACGACAAGAAGGAGGTGGGTGATCTGTGCTGGTGGTAAAATTAGGAGAAGAGGAAGAAAAGTACATTTTTGAATTTCATGGACAGGAAGACACTTCATAAGGGTTGTAGCTTTACAGGACATTGCGAGTTGACAATACATCAGGACAGATCTTGGAGCAAGGAATGTAGACTGTGAGCCATGGGGAGGAACACTACTTTCCAAGGTATATAGCAGTTTTGTCTCTGAAAACTGTAAATGCCTTCTTAAAGTCCCCTTGGTACCCATACATTTGCCTTGCTAGTCGTCAGGTATTTTAGAAATGGAAATCAAATCTTACACTGTCAGTGTGCACACACACACCTGATACTTTCATTCCCTTTTGGTTTTAATATCTCTTAGCTGTTCTTCACTGTCTTGCTGAACCTATGCACAGTACTATTACAGTACTAAAATATTGGAGTGCCTAAGCACTTTGCAGCCTTCTCTGTACTCCTGCTTCTTCGTGCCTCTTTAACATCCAGCTTGCTTCTTTTTCTTGTAGCCACTTGCTGGACTAAGGCCTAGTAGATCTAGTCCCAGTGATGGTCAGCCTCCCTTTCTGGAGTAGATGCTATTAGCGTCGGATCTTTAACACCTGTGGTTTACCCTTGAATATTTCCTCTTTCTTAACCATTTCCATTTTATTTTCTAGGACTCAGATGAAGAGGAGATTGCCAGCACTCCACCAAGCTCAGCAGAGTCTGCTTCTGGCTCTGATTAGCAAGATACACTTTCAAAGCCACCTGGCTTCCCTATCCTTCTTACAGGGAATGTGCTTGCTATATTGCTGAGGTGAAACCAACTAGATGCTGTTTCACCCAGACAAATAGGCTGGAAAGCTGCTGCCATTCAGAGTACCTGGCATTTTTCCTGTCCTCGTACTGAAGGTTGCAGTCAGGGCGAGTTATTACATCCGGAGAGGGAGGAAGCTACTGAAGGAGAAAGCCAACCACCCTTTCTTTCTGCCTCTATGTTGTTGTAGATGCCCTGTATCCTATTAGATGGCAGTCTCAGTGGCACATGGCACACAGCTGGAAGCTAGGACACTGTGCTGCTTCCCCAGTCAGATTCAGATGGTGTTTTTTTCTGTTTTTCTTTTCTTTTATTAATTCTCTTTGTATTTCTGATTTATTGTGGCTAACTGATTTAATAAAAATCAAGTGAATTTGAGTGGGGTTTGTGTTTGTGTACTCCAGAGCAAAGGCTGGACAAATGATCAAGCATCTTTTCAGTGCTGGGCACGTGAAGCAGAAAAAGCAAGCAAGGCTAGTGCAATAATAGGAGAAGACCCATCATGCAGTACTTCTCCCCTATTCCCTCAAGCTGAACCAATATTTTTTCATTTGGACTTTGGGTGGTGGCTGTCTCTTCTTGTGCTTTGGGCCAAGGGGTTTAGCTGTATTACCTTCCATTAGCAGCTGCACTAATTGGGTTTGAAGGACCACTGTGTGCTGCTGGGACTTGGCTAATGCAGGCAAGTGGTCGATAGTGATGAGGTCTGGTGGGGCAGAAGACTCCAGCAGCAATAACTCTGCCTTTGATCATCGCCACCAGTAACACTCAGGAGTGTGTGTGATTTCTGAGTTTGCTTGTATCTGTTCCTGGCATCTTAAAAAAATGTGGACACCTCCTCTTGTTATGTCTCAAGTCCAGGACATAACATAATGGTTCTTTACACAAGGGGTCCTCAAATGTTTTAAGCCAAGGGCTGGCTCACGGTCTCTCAAACTGTTGAGGGCAGACTATAGTTTGAAAAAAACACAAATGAATTCCTGTGCACACTGTACATATCTTATTTGTAGTGCAAAAAAAGAGACAGTATTATATTGATTTTATATTGATTTTATAATGCTGTTTTAAATGTTTTAATTGTATATTGTGGATTGTTATGGCATTGAATTGCTGCCAATTTGTAAGCCGCCTTGAGTCACCTTCGGGCTTGAGAAAGGCAGGATAGAAATATCGTAAATAAATAAATAAATTTATATAAATAAAAATATAATGTTTTTTTGTGAGATTAGAGTAACCCAAAAACCACTGGACGAACTGACACCAAATTTAGACACAATCCACATATCAGGCCAACAAGTGACCATCACTCATAAAAACACTGAAAACCTCAGCAGAAGAGACTTAAAAAGCAACCCCCCCCCCAAAAAAAAACATTACAATGCATGCACAAAACATATATACATTCATAAACATACATATATACACATATACACAAATATGTACACTCACATATACACACCTATTCAGACATAAAGCACATATACACAGACGGCCACAGCAATGCGTGGTAGGGAACGGCTAGTAATAAAATTTAGAATGAACAATTTTAACCAACATAAACTCACCAGTATTTCAATGGGGAGTGTAAGCCTGCTTTTGATGAGATAGTCAAGTTAATTGTGTGCCTTCAAATCGTTTCAGACTTAGAGTGACCTTAAGTCTAAAGTTTAGGGTGGGGGCAAGTAAATGGCCTTGTAGGGTTGCATCCAGCCCGCAGGCCTTAGTTTGGGGACCCCTTGCTTTACACCATTTCAGTATGATGCCCCTGTGTCAGACACCATACAGACATGTAACCATGTAGATGACTGCCTACAGAGGAAGGAATAGTGGACGGAGTGGATAACTGCTTATGTCTTTTCCTGGATAGACTCGCTCTTCAAGTAGCTGTCTGGAAATTTATGCATAGTTCTAAAGTGGGTTGGATAAGAATTGAGCTGGGCCTCATGGCTGTGCCTGTGGGATTTGCCAGCCTTTCCATTAAGGATGTGGTTGGCATACTGGCCTAACAGGAAAGACTACTTCCTCCGTGTTCTTTCCCCTGAGGTTCTGAAAAGCTGTTGGGGAAATGCAGAACCTGGGTGGCAATGAAATCTATCACATTCATCGCCTGGGTTGTCATTCGTCATGGAAGTTAATAACTTTACTTAGCTCTTGTGATTCTTTTTTCATCTTGGCCATCACAATACCTCTGACAATAGACTCCCAGTGCTAATTCTGAATTTATCAAATACTTTTTTATTTGTCATAAATCTAACTAAATTTTCCAGTGGAGGATGATGAGGGTGTGTATTTTTGTAATGGACAGCTTTCTAAATCACTTTCTCCTACAACTCCAAACTCTGAAGCAATATTGCCCCATTTTGGCATGATGCCTCCCATTTTCCCCACTCCCCTAATCTAAATTCCACAAGTGATTCAGCCTTTTAAGAAGACAATAAAACGTCTTGTATATTTTATTCCCATGATCTTTTCTTCTTTTTACAGCTTTCCTATGTTTTGTGAAATAGTCAAATCTGGGCACAGGTATTGAATATGTATGCAATCCAAAGTTGCTTGGGGTGATTTTGTCTTTTGAAAGGGAACTTTCTCTTTCCCAAACTTCCTGAGTAGAATCAAAAAGTGGTAAATAAATAAGGGTTGCAATTTTAAAGCCATTTTGTAACAAAGGTATTCGTGCATCCTGAAAAAACACTTCCATTCCTAGTGCTTGAACTACTGCTCATATTTTTTTTCAATAATTCTTTGAAAAATATTTCCAAATGGAAGATTTAGTTTTTAATGTTTCTGTGTGTAGAGGTAATAGTCATAGGATTTCAAGGTATGCAAACACAATTTCAAATAAATGAAAGACACAAACCTACAGTATCTGGAAGGATATCTTCTGCACCATTGAATAGAACAGAAGTCTTCCCAGTAAGCAATCTCCCTGAAAACATTTTTATGAATTTGAAGCTGCATGAAAATTTCAGTTTGTGCTACTTCCTTGTCAGAAAACAAGTAAAAGGGTGCCTTTTTGAGCTGGTTTAGTTAATTTTCTATCCAAACTGGGCGCAATGGCAGAGGGGGAAAGAAATGCATTAAAAGGCAGAGGAATCCAAAACTTTACCTTCAGTCCTAGCAGCAGCAGAAGATACTTTATCCCTCCTTCCATATTGATATGTTAAACTATTATTCATTTATTTATTTACGACATTTATAGCCCGCCTTTCTCAAGCATACGACGACTCAAGGCGGGTTACAGATTAGTACAGTTCGGTGCCATACTTTCATAAAAGTGCGATTAAAAAACAGTTAATATAACAATATAAAACATATATAAAAACCAATAAAACATGAAGTCACTATGCTTAGGAATTATATATGAATCCAGATGTTAATCAGCTACTCAGAGAAATTATTCTGCAAAAGGTCCCTGCACTTGTTTGCAGTAAAACTAGCATATGAAAGCAGGGTTGCTTACATTATGTGTATGCCACAAACTTCATGGTTACTTACCTGTGTTTAAAAAATACCTGAAAACAATTCATTAATATTTCACTTTGTTTATAAATTCTGTCTCTAGCAATAAATTACTTATAGTCTGGATTATAATCCTATTTACAGATTTGCTGTAGGGTTAAAGATAAAACTCAGTCCTTCTGAAGTGCTGGGATATCATAACAACCTCGTGAAAAGAGATTTAGATCTTCATGGATTACATATTCAAACATCTGTTCAATGTGTTCAAGTATTTTAGTATAAAAGTGTACTATCTTAGGACAGGACCACCCAAAATGCAAATAAAGTGAACCAGTCTCCAACACAGGACATTGTTTGAATATTGTAATTGGTATGCACGGGTGTCGAAGCAAACATTGGCATGCTTCCAGTTACCTGGTGGCTGAGCTGAGATTTGAATCAGGGCTTTATAACTTGTATTTCTAACCTCTACAGCATAGGTGGATAAAATGCAGGCCTGGAGTGGGATCTGGTTCCTGAATTTTGGTTTTTCACCCATTCATATTCTCTGGACCACCTTTTTCCCGTCTCCAAAGCAGTAAATTGTCTCTCCTGGAAACATCTAAGAGAAGTTCAGCCTTTAAATAAGGTGTTGGTCTCGTCCCACAAATTTCCTTTTTTGAAAAAAGGAATTTGTTTCTGTTTTTGGGGCTGGGGGAGGGGGAGAGGTAGTTTGAATAGCCTCTGGAGGGTCCCAGGGACAGCAAATTAGCACCTGGATTCACTGCTGCTGCCTGTCACTATCCTTGATAAAGTATATTGTAGTCTTGAAAACCTTTTCCTAAATAAAACCTGTAAATCTTTAAGTCATGCCTTTAGTACACTGAGTCTCACTTACCATGCTCCTGTCCAATCTCACAGTATTGAAGATCAGCCTAGAGATTTTCCTAGTCTATCCTAGACTTTGCTATCATCAATATTTAAATGAATGCCTTTTAATGTGTGTTGCACAGTAGCTTCAAAAAGGATGTGTAGTCTCATTTTGAAGGGCTGCAAGTGATGGATGATCTGTGTTTCTCTCTTGGTAGCCTATTAAAATGATTGATCATTCCTGTTTGCTGTTTTCCTCCCTGACAGTAACCTTCAGTAGTTGTCTTTCCCTTATATTTCTTGCAGGGCTTAAGAACCTGCTCTTTATATTCTCCTTGGGCAGACACTTTATCCCATGTACAGCAGTTGAATCCATATTAGCTTTTTTAGCAGTACCATTTTGAGGTCCTAATGACCTTACTGATTCTATTACTATTTATGAGAGCACTACTCAGGGAGCCATAAGATAGGTCCCCTTCCCCCAGCTAGAAAGGAACCTGGACCATTAACTGCTGTTACTCAAACCAGAATAGAGCCTTAAAATTGAGGATTTGAAATACAGCTTAAAAGCATTTTGATACATGTGCTTCCCACTGCCCCCAGCCTTTGAGCTGTTCTCCAGTGGCTACAAAAGCTGTAGGTTAGAAAGCTGTTGCTTTAAGGCAGAAAGGAAAATGCAGGGTTTGAAGAGGTTAGCAATCATGGGCTTCTGTCAGATTTCTCCCTACTTCCCTACTGCTCATCTATTTCGGAGCTTCTTAAACTTTTCCACTTCTGTTTACTTTCATCCTGAGACATTTTTATATGACCCTGGGTATACAGACATATATGACAGATATAAAAACCAAACATTTATTAATAACAAATCAGCATTTGCAATGCTAGCTAAACAGTCTGATTTTCCTTTTTATAAAGTAAAGTGGAAGAGTCTTCTTCAGCATCCACTGTAAACACTGCATCTCTTTGTTAACAGATTTGTGTAAATGGGTGGCATTCAGAAATCTTTTACTATTGCCATTTTTTCAGAAGCCCAGCATTGTGCTAAGGGGACCCCATTTGGGGTCAGGACC